AATTTTTTTGTTTGTACACCATTACGTAATACACACAAATGTCCATAAAAGGAAATACACACAATGGTATTTTAAGGGATGCCCTTTTCGAGCCCAAGTTGAACATTCCCCCAATTTACTTCTCTTCCCTGTACATCCATCACCTCAGATTTTGTCCACCAGGGACACTATCTCCTCCACGTACTTCACATCTATTCATTCCCATTCCTCCTGTTTTTTTAAACATAACTTCCACCGAGCGCGCCCGCACCTCCACATCCTTGTCGCCTTCGAACTCGATCAGCGTCAGGATGGCCCAACCTTCCTCTTCCCATCGTGATCGCGACAGAGAGGGTCATTCACACCGTTCGGAACGCTCTACACACCGCCATCATAGAACAATTTCCTCCACAACCCTTCTTCTTGTCCTTTCCCTTATCCTCGCCGTCCTCGCCGTCATGCTCTCCCTTCCCGGCCAAAGCTCCTCCACGGGTCAGCCTGGGGACCCCGCTACCCAAGGAGTTTGGAATGTGCTCACGCCCAAGCGATCTCAAGCTCTCCTTGCCCGTGAGAGTAACATTGCAGTACGCGAAGCAGAGGTTGCCCGTCGTGAGGCCGAGATTCTTGCCGGTGCACCGGGTGGTGTTATCGGGTCTGCCCCAATGCCCACGTCATGTCCCCCTTGTGTAGCACAAGCTACCTTCGACCCCCCTCCAGTTCAGACTGTAATCAAGGAAGTTGTCCAGGAAAAGGATCTCGCCGCACCAGGATGGTGGAAGGAAAGTAATGTGCGGTTCGACGACATTCTTGATCGAGAACTCAAAATTGCCGAACGCGAGCGCGAGATTAGTCGCCGTGAGGAGACTGTCAACCGTCGCGAACATGATGCATCTCGTCGTGAGGCTTGGATCATGGAGCAGCTTGCGTAAGTCTTCGTGTCCTCCATACCTCGGCCCTCTCGCTGACGGTACCTTGTTCAGTGCTCTTGGCGGTGAATCCGCAGTTGAGGAAGAATACGTTTACGAACCGGTTGGAGCCAGACGCAAACCATCCAAGGTACCACCGCCTCTCTACCGCCGTCCCGAGCTCTGAGACGAAGGAGGTTCTGAGTTCCTCTCGTTTCCCTACTTCAGTCAGTTGAAGTCTCTGTGATATCCTTCCTCCCACACTCCTTCGTCCGGGCTTGGGGGACAACGGCTTTTTCATCTCTCTTTTGTCCCCCTTGTTCGTCGTGTAGCCTTGGAGCCATTTTATCACGACGCGTCGAGTCGCGTCGTTCGGAATCAAACTTGCTCGATCAGGCGGACGCGTCTACACGTGACACGCCGATTCATTTGTATTTTGCCATGTGTCGACCAAAATGGGCTCCAGGGCTACAAGCCCCCATAAATTTGCTCGAGAATTGTTTTGCTGACGCATATGTCTTCCTTTTGTAGGAAATTCCAATTCCTCCTGCCATAATTACAGAGATCGAAACTGCAACACGTACCGTAACTCAAGTCCACATTGAAACCCAGTTTGTGCCGAATGAAACCTTTGACATCCCGCCGCCCGCAAATACCCGCCGTGTCGCCAAGCCTACCCCTTCTCCATACTCAAGCTCATTTTCTACGATGTTACCAAAAACCACTTCAGTTGAGGTGCTGATAGAGCACGAGGAGGCTGTTGTGCGTGAGGAAGCCCCCGTTGAAGTGGAGGAGGTTGTTGAGGACCCGAGGAGGCGTTCTGGTCGCAAGCCGCCTCCTCCTGCATTCCCACCTGCTGCGTATAGACCGGCGCCGCAACGCTGGTGGTAAGTATGTGTGGTGGTGTGGTTAGTCAACGATCATGAAAGCGATCTGGGCCTGTATTTACTATTCATCTTTTTTTGCTACGTATTTTCTATTGTCGCTGCTTGCGGCGCCTTGGTACTGATAACCGAGTTGACCTTCATACTTTAACGTTTGTTATCCCGCGACACCTATATCTTTGTCCTTACGTTTACGAACTCTGACGATAAATTGAAGGTTACTCACAATATTTACTGGGAATGACGAATGACGAGAAGAGATTTGTTGATGTTTGGTGACCAAATTTGGGCGCGTGATTGGATCCTTTCCTTAGTCGGTCCTGCCCGAGTTTCGCTCCCTTGCGCGCTCGTATAACAACGCGTCTTTCTCGTACGACCAACTCATCATTCGCGTGGCTCCATCTTCTTTGGCCTCATGGTTGCCTCCCCCCACGAGAAGACCCTTAGTTTAGGTCCGTACACGGAGTCCTCGACTCCATCCAAAAGCTCCACCATTTTCCCGGTGTTTTCACCCTTTGCGAATGCCTACTCCCGGTTCTCCAGCTGGCGCGCAGCGCTCAGCCTGCCAAACCCGGGTAGTGTGGAGAACTTGCAGAAGGAGGTTAAAAGTGAGCTTTTTTGCTGATTGCATGTCCGTTCGCGCGGTTTCTGACAGGGTGACACAGCAACGCATTTGAACAACTTCATCTTCGACGGCGCGCGGGCTGACCTTATGAAAGGACTATCGATGGATCCGGCTTTCCAGGTTACCCACTCGTTCCAGTTAGCCTCGCAATCCGCACCTCCGACTTACTCGTTCGGTGCGTTGTTCGCAAATGCGAAGGTGAGTTACGGAAGCCACTCTGTGACCTGTCAATTTTTTTTTACCGTTACCGTACCTCCAAAAGGTCCTCCTTCAAGGAAACGTCGACCATGAGGGTAATCTTACCGGACGATTCCAGCAAAACTGGTCAGCATCAAATACCTCCAAGATGCAAGCCCAAGTATGTTGCCATCAATGCCCTCCGAAAACTTATTGACGTTACGGTATCCTAGCTCGGAATGCAACCCGGCCATACTATGATACAATTGGAACATGACTATTCGGGTTCTGACTACACCATGAATGGCAAAGCCATTAACCCTTCACCGTTGGACGGTTCCGGCATTTACGTTGGGAGCTACCTTCAGTCCGTGTCGAAAAACATAGCGTTGGGCATCGAGACACTTTATCAACGGGCCGCGCTCGACCAGGCAGAAATGTCGTCCTCGTACCTTGCCAAACTGACGGGCTCCGATGGAAAGTGGATTGCGACAGCACAGTTCCAGCCGATTGGTGTCCTCCAGGCGACTTACTGGCACAAGCTCAGTGAAAAGGTGGAGGCGGCTGCAGATTTGCAGGTGATTGCAGCTCCGATGCGTCGCGATGCGATTGCCACAGTGGGCACGAAGTATGACCTCCGCATGTCGACATTCCGAGCGCAGTTAGACTCGACGGGCAAGGTGTCGGCGTTGCTGGAGCAACGATTTGCTCCCAGCTTTGCGTTCACGGTTGCTGGAGAGATAGACCATTTCAAAGTGCGTAACGTAATTCTTATGCCATTCCGTTAGTTGACTAAGTACCTTGGGAACACCACTCAGAATGCCGCCAAGGTCGGAGTTGGCGTGATGATCGAGAGCACAAGCTTGACATCTGAGGAGATGGGGATGGTGCCCCCACCAGGACAGCCACCTTTTTAGGCTATCTACGATTTGTCGATCGATACTCTAGACTAATGCATAGCATGACCCTCTACTCTAAACATGGACTACTGCACCAGTCGGTAAACCGGACCGTTGCGTGAGAATGAATTCTTCCACTTTTTCTGTGGCGACATGACTCCTCTCTCAAAGCCATGGCTCCTCTGATTGCCGTGAAGAACCTTGATTATCTTAAGTCAGAAGGCGATGCGATTTTCGTGAACGTCAACTTCGAAGTGAACGAGGGTGACATTGTTATCTTGCGGGCACGTAGCGGTACTGGGTGAGTTGTGTTCGTTCCCACTCGCTTGATGCTCACCATTGTCTCGTATATCCTCATCTTTCAGAAAGACCTCCCTCTTGAAGTGTATAGCCCATCTTAATCTTTATCAAGGAACCGTAGAATTCAAGGGAAGGTGAGTCACTCAGGCCTCGTCTTCATAATCGTGTCTTACACGAGCCCTGGCTATCAGACCTCCCAAAGCTTATGGTACGCTAGCCATACAAATGGACGCAAAGGTCTTCCCATGAACGTCCCAATATAGGTGTCCCAACGTACAGAACCTACGTCCAGTACATCCCCCAACGACCATCACTATTACCGGGAACACCACGCGACCTATTCGAGACGTTGTCCACATTTCACGCGCGACTCACCCCAGAGCGTTCTTCCGAGGGTGACCATCTCAATAGAGCCATGATCCTGGCGGAACAATGGGGTATTGAGAAGGAGCTTTGGGACAGACCGTGGAGCTTACTCAGTGGCGGGGAATCTCAGCGATTATCGCTGGCGGTCGCGTACGGTTTCAACAGCGCTGAGGTCTTGTTGCTTGATGGTGCGTATCTTTTCTTCTGGCCATAGCGACGCGTTTTCACCCCCCTCATTTTTTATCTACTCGGGAATTTGTAAGAACCAACATCCGGACTTGACCCCGCATTGTCCGTGGTAGTAGAGAATACGCTTATCAATGAGATCAACAATCCTGATACGGCACTCAAAGCTATCATATGGATCACCCATTCGGACGATCAAGCGGAGCGCGTCGGCACGCGGTTTTTGCACCTCACACCGGATGGCGTCGAAGAGAAGAAATGTATCGAACCGTAGAACTAGTGGAGAGAGAGTGGGGCGGAGTTGGCGTGAGTTTGGGAAGACGGTTGTCGGCTTTTATGGGATTTTTTTTCTGGTTTATTATTATTATTGAAAACCTACAGACGTTGATGTCCGGGCATACACGAGCAATTCGGCATCACTTCATCTGCGATAAGGCCCCTCCCCACCGGACTCTCCGATCGGCTTCGTTTCATCACGCTCCGGTGGCATATATGGGAGAGAGGTTCAGGCCTGGTGACTCTCACCTCCACCCTTCTCTTTAGCAGGATGATAGGGCCGCGAATGCTGATAATTGATTGTTATACGTAGCATATCGCTGTAACTTTGATCGAGCATAACCGTGTGTACCCGATCCCTTGTTGGAGGGTCGTAGTCATATAAAAAGGACCCCTGCTTGTTGGACCTTTAGCTCAATCGGTAGAGCTTTGTACTTATGAGGTTACCCTGACCTGTATATGCAAGGGTCCCGAGTTCGATTCTCGGAAGGTCCACTTTTTAAACTTTCCCTATGAGGTGGCACCTCATGTATGCACGGCACTTTGGCCCACACCATACCACTTTAGAGTCCGCTCGTAACTTAGGCCACATTAGCCTTGACCTTGACAATGTCCTTCAATGTCCTTCAAGCTAGCTTCAAGCTCGACGCAACAACGCTTCAGATGACGTGAGACTCGACCATGTATATATGGAAAAAGCGGGAAACCACAACAGGCGGTGCATTCAATTGTGGCAGGCATGGCATTGTGGCAGTATTGTGGCAGGCCGCAGCCTGGTGCTTAGTCCATCCAACCGCAGGGCCACAGTCAATGCCACAAACGGGCGCACCTACCCATTATCATAAAAGCCCGAGGAGCGGGCATCCGAAACTTTCACCCTCTTCCATCCGCCTTCCACAGCCAATTTCACTCGCTCTGTTGATCTTCACCGATGTCTTTCATCGAAACATCCCATCAGACTGGTTACCCGGACGAGTTCAGCGATACAGTGGCCAAGGTGACAGCCTCCATTCTGCAAGAGCAACTTGCGCCCATTGTCGAAACCTTGCGCGAGCATGCCAGGTTGCTGGACTTGCATTCTGCTCTCCTGAACCATAGCACCGCGATGAATCGTTACAACGTCGGCAAGATTGACGATATACGCGATTTTCAGAACAGCATAAAGTAAGTGGTGCTATGGGATTGTTGATCCTCTTTTCGAACTGTCGTGCTCACACATACATGCACTCGATTTCTTACAGCTTCAAATTACAATTTCACGTCGATCCCGAGGACAGACGGTATCCTAACAACTATCGAAATCGCCAAACACCTTCAGCTAGCACAAGCACCGAAACTCTCTTAAACCCCGAGTCTCGTTTGCCGGCAGCGGACGCACATACTCAGGCTGACGAACCTACCCATTCGACCGCCGCTTCCTCGTCGTCGATGGCGGCCTCGCCCAGATTGCCGGATCACCCATCCACGCCAGTTCCTGGACCCTCTCGCCGTTTACAGCGCGAACGCCCCTTCTCGGTCGCCCCCGACCCGATGTGGAACTCGTCGCGAGAGATCCGGCCTCAAGAGTCTCTCGCTGCTACCCACGCGCCGCCACCCCCATACGTACTGCCGCCCACCTACGCCGAAGTGATCCCCCCAAGGCAAATCGAGTCCGTCGTGCAAGTGGTCCACTCGGCGAGGCCCTCCCCAGTCGAGATCATCGATATTGAACCGTCGACCTTGCAATCCTCGACTTTGGACGTCCGAGATGTTTCGATTTCGTCGGATAATATTCCGCGTGTTCCCCACCGAAGAAGAGGCAAATAACGCTCCTTCTATTCATTCGGTCCGTCGTGGACCTTTGCGTCAACCATGCAGCCCCAAAGTTCCACTCCCTCTGAGGATCTGGCAGCCGATGATACTGACTCTGACGACGAAAATCCGTATATCGGGTCGGAGGTTACCACCGGTGCCGATGGTGCAGAACATGACGGTCCTTCTCATCCACTCGATTTATCGACCTTCCTCTGGGCCGAGGAGGCCGAAAATTCCACCACGTCTGACGATGAGATGGGCGATGTCGTCGTCGGCAGCTCTAGCGACGAAAATCCGGATGCCGATTCGCAGCTGAGCGAGAAGGCTCGCGGGAAGAAGCGGATGCGAGATGAGGACTATCCTTCGGATGATAAAGACGACTCGGAAACGCTGGAAATGCTCCTCGAAGAGGGCTCTAGTGGCGGTAGCAGCAGCAGCAGCACCAGTAGCGACCGCGACGGACAACCCGACCGCAAGCGCATGAAGACGGACGCGGAGACTGAAGAAGCATCAATACTGACCTGTCGGTGGTGGATGAACGGTTGTCGGTGATTGCGCGCCTGGGCTTTATCAGAAATTCGAGTTGGAGTCGAGCCAAGCAGTTGAAAGATATCAAGAAGCTATATCGCAGGGCTCTTCTCCTGGCTTAGCCTGACCAGGCAGGGCAGGCCGTCATATATGTATTTCTTCCTTTTTCCCCCTTTCATCTCTCTCTCTCAGTGATAGCTGCACTCTTGTTTTCGTTTCGTTTCTGTTTTGTTCTGCTTTGTTGAGCTGCGGTTAAATCCGCATGGACTTCTTTATTGTCTTCGTTCTTCGTCTCTTTATTTTTGTTGCGTTTTTGTGTTGCCAGTGTGTTACTTATACATCGGACGCCCTAGCGATAAGCAATTTGGGGATACTATAATACCTGCAGCAGCTTGCCTTCGTGTTTTGTTTTGTTTTTCCTTATTTTTGCTTCCTTGTACTGTACCATAAAGTTCCAGCAATATAAAGTGTTTACATTACATGTTGGATCCCATTCCGACGATTATTAATCGATCATTTCTGGAATCGCTAGCGGCCCGAGCTCATACGGTTTACTTTCGTTCTTATTTAAGTCATTCAATGCTGCGGTGCAATCAATTGCCGGTACTGGTAGGTTGAGTCGTGCGGTCAAGCACAGCATCGATCAGTCGGAGATATGATGGCTGAGCCAGGCTCACGGAGACGGCTTGGTGGTGGGCTGGTGGCTAACCTTTTTGGTGTATTTGGAACGTGATCAAGTTGAATTCACTACACCGCTAAGTTTATCTCAGTTTCTGTTCGTCGCGTTCGGCCAGGCGTTAGGCAAATGATCTCCTCGAGCCTTACTCGAAACTTACTCATACAACAATCGCCAATCGCTAGCGGCCCGAATTTGTCCTTTCTCGCTCTTCCTGGAGTGACATCCTCAGTTGTGACATGTGCTCGGGACATACAACTCTATGGGTCCCCTTCATGATGTAGTCCGACTTTTCGCTTTGGGTTGGGACAAATAGGATTCAGTGGCGTTTCGTTAATGCTCGAGTGGCTCTAACCCCTTGGACTTCACAAATTGACTCGGAATCGCTGGTATCGCTGTGGCAGTGGGCCCTGAGGCCTGAGGCCTGAGGTACTACTAGGGATAACACGAATGTGGAAGCTTGCCGCGTATTTTTATTTTGCTATGCACGATACCGTGATGTTTGTAATCTATGAGGCTGTTCACCTAGTTACACGCCTTGATAACGAGTGCATCAGCCCGTCAATCGCAGCCAGAGGTCCGCCTTTTGAAGTTTCTTCGGGTTCAAGTATCAAATTCTCAACCAAATGAGGGCTCTGAAGCACAAAAAATCTATATATTCCATCATGACCTTCCTAGGACTCGGGGCTCACTAGCACGTTCCACATATTGTACAGTACAAGCCTACAAGGACTACCAAAGGACTTCTTCTACTCTGTTGTCTGATCATTGGCCACATGTACGAATAGCCTACATATCATCGTCAATCTCAAGTAAGATCAACACCTTCACGGCACCAGATCGGCTCCGCCTCGTGCGAAGGTCGCTGACACGTGAGCCGGGGTTGTGGAGGTAGTGACTCGCGAGATTCTTTTTGAGGTTCTCGGTGACTGACATTCCGGAATGCACCAGGCCCAGATCTCCTTGAGAAGGTCCCGCTACGTTGTGAGGAAGAGGTATGTTACTGGTAGGGTAATTGTTGGGCACCTCCTGTAGTTAGAGGCGCAGTAAGAAAGACTGCATGTGAACAAGGAAGGGGGCGGGGTAGACAAGACGTACAGGAATCGCAGGAGCATACTGCTCGAGCGGAGGTGGACCAAGGTCAGTTGGAATATACTGGGTAATCCCGCCGGGAGTGGGATGATTGGCGTCAAGTTGACGTTGACCAAAGCCCTTCGGCACAGCCACCGTCAGCAAAGGGGCATGACGACTGATAAAATGAACACCCACTATGTTAACACGAGGTGGGTCCTCGTTCCCAATGGTGCTGGTGTATCTTGTCGGTGGAAGGGCGTCGACATGATTCACCGCGGGGTAAGGGCCAGCAGAGTCAATACCTGGTAGATGTTCATTCGACCAGACTTCGTGGTCACGACCGCCCAAAGTCTGGATTGATATATAACTGAGCAGTGGAACATCGTATATATGTAATATGTAATACAGACCTGCACGAAATTATGCTGAGGGTGATTGTTTGTCGTCATCTAGTATGGCCTTGGTAGACGGTTCGTTGGAGCTAGAGATATTCTTTGCCGAGAGGTGATTCCTCGTGACTGGGTCATCATATGTGGGGGAGAGCTCGTTTTTAAGTGCATACTGTATGGCGCGCCGTAATTGTCTATCAGTACGGAAGTGAGTGCGTTTTATGGCTGAACCCAAAAAGGAACAACGTATCCCACACCGGTGGGATGGTAGTCAAATTAATATCAAAGGTTGCAGGCGTTCGCTTGCCCGATAGAGAATTCTATTCACTGACTACAGTCGAACCCCTCTTAACCCATACCCATTTGGAGGACTGCTAGTGTATTGGCTAGAGGAGTTACGCCTGAAAAAAAGGTTTTTGGAGGTATGGGTTAAGAGGGGTTTGACTGTAACTGCATACAGTCGAAGCTCTCTTACTGTAGCTCATACTCTTGCAGATTCTTACCCCACATACATTTCAAGTTACCGACCCGGTATGCAGAGAAACCCCATACCTCTGTGATACAACTCGCATGAGTCAGGCGGAAAGGTTTTCATTTTTCATTTTCATTTGAAATGGCAGCAACAATTTGTTCCTGTTTGTTGGAGTGGAGATGATTCTTCTCCGGCCGAACACAGTTCATCACTACCTTTATCGGTTGCCGTTTTCCCCAACACAGCCAGCTCGTCACGATTCTCCCTTAAACTTCACACTTCCTCTCCCACTTGTTCCTGTTTGTTGCAGGGGATGGAAGTTTTCTATTTTCAGCAACGATTTGTTCCTGTTTGTTGGAGTGGAGATGATGGAGTTTTCTATTTTCCAGCAACGATCTGTTCCTGTTTGTTGCGCAAGTCAGGCGACGGATAGTTTTCAAGGCTCGTTGTTAGTGATTAATTGCTTCGTTCTGCTCGCAATGACTTATCCCCACCATTTCTCTCCTCACTGGCTGATTTAGGCCCTTCAAAGCGGGCGCTCTGAGACTGTCCTACTCCAGAT